TGGGCAGGATCCTGGTGGCGGGGGCCCCCCCCAGGGCCTAGTACCGGCCCCACGAAAACACCAGTGGAGGACCTGGGAATGGGCCCTAGGCCAGGGGAGAAATACAGTGCATACAGAGAGCGCACTGTGGCCCATATCAACCGCTTGAACAAGGAGGAGGAAAAGCTAAGTGGGTTGAGACTGGAGTTGAAGAAATTCGGAGCTTCGTATGACCGGGTCTGGTCCTCCAAGCGCCATACCATGAAGCCTCAGTTGGAGATCTTGGAACAGCGTGTCAGCGAGCAGGTCAAGATGGTTGCTGCACTAAAAGCGGCCAGTGGAATCCTGCGGGAAAGACATACTAATGAAGACAGGTTTAGATCTGCAAGGAGCAAGCTTGTGACAGAGGCCCGTGGTCATGCTGAGGAGTCATCTCTGGAGGAGTTTTCAGATGCACCAGCAGGTGAGGGAGCCTGCCGGGTGGAGGCTGATCCGGCCAGCCCCCCCATGCATGCTGAGGAAGTATTACCTGCAGTAAAGGTTGTGGGGTCCGGCTCCATCCCCCCCCAGCAGCAGCAGCACCCTGGACTGGGGGTCTCAAGTGGGAGGTGGCTGAGAGAGCTGGAACTATGCATTTTATTAAAGAAATGGAGTCCCCTTTACATGTAAAGCAGTTTCCTTTTACATCTGAGGAATCGGAGGATGAGGATGACAGGTGTAAGAAGCCAGCTAAGCCCAGAGAGAAAGAAAGAGCGGTGTTTGTCAGCTTGGAAAGGATCCCCAGCAAGTTGGTTAGGTCTGCAGCAGCAGGAGTGAAAGTGTCAGAGGTGTTGGGAGTAAACCCATCCAGCAGTGAAGTGGTGGCTGAATCCAGTGATCTAAGTGTTGGAGATGCTAAGGAGAGCGGGGTGTGTCCCTGCCCAGGGACGTCAGCATGCAGTCTGGAGGTGTAAAGGAGAGCGGGGTGTCCCAGCCCAGCAGCGGGGGTGTGCCTGCAAGTCAGGGTCCTCATGGCATGGAGGAAGACAAGGTGTTGCAGCCCAGAGGCGGGGGTGTGTCTGCAGCTCAGATTCCCTGTGGCTTAGAAGATCATGGAGTGTCCCCGCCCACTGGCAGTACAATGCTGGCTCTGGGTCTCTCTGATGCAGCACGGGGAGGACTGTCCCTGCCCAGTGGTGAGTCATGTCCTGGTCTTTGTGATGGGATAAAGAGTGGAGTGGCCCCGCCCATAGGTGGAACTGAATCTGTGCTCAGAGACCAGCGTGTCTGTAACGCTGGAGGACTGGCTAAAGCCATGGGTCTGCAGGGGGGTAAGAGTTTGGTGGGGGGGGGGGAAAGGAGGAGGAGATGATATGTGATGCACCAGGTGGGGAGAGTGTAAAGTCTGTGATCTCTAGTTCTGCTCTTACAGTTCCTGGGTCTGTCCTTGTTCCATGTGCTTCTCCCATCCCTGCTGCCTGTAAGGCAGTCCCTGCTCCTGTCATCCATGCTGGCTCTGGGCCAGTCCCTGCTCCCTCTGCTCATCCCATCCCTGCTGTTCAGGGGTCCATCCCCACTCCCTCTGCTCATCCCATCCCTGCTCCCTCTGCTCATCCCATCCCTGCTGTTCAGGGGTCCATCCCCACTCCCTCTGCTCATCCCATCCCTGCTCCCTCTGCTCATCCCATCCCATCCCTGCTGTTCAGGGGTCCATCCCCACTCCCTCTGCTCATCCCATCCCTGCTCCTTCTGCTCATCCCATCCCTGCTGTTCAGGGGTCCATCCCCACTCCCTCTGCTCATCCCATCCCTGCTCCCTCTGCTCATCCCCATCCCTGCTGTTCAGGGGTCCACCTCTGCTCCCCTGGATCCATCCCAGCTGCGGGCTCTGTCAGTTATTCTGCAGTGGTCAGGGGAGGCCAGGGGGTGAGAGGGTGTTAGAGTCCCGGGTTGGGGGTTCCCCTTCTTCGGTGGGCACGGCGTAACGTGGTCCAGTTACGGTGGACAGGTGAGGGCGCCCCTCCAAATAGGAGGGAGGTGATAGACAGAATTATAGAAAATGGGCTTCAGGGCTAGTGAGATCTTTGCCTTTATTGCTCCTTTGGGTGCAGGTGAATACATGTATCTTTTGTGAGGGGCTGATGGCCTGGATTTATTCTGGCAAAGGTATGATGATAGGTGGAAGGGTCTCCCAGGTGGGCGGGTTTAACCCCGAGGGTCATCTCTCGTCAGCCTTTGGTAAAAAATGTGACCATTCTGGTGAGGAATGAGTCCATCCCAGCAGCGGACATTATGGTTTGGCTAGGCTGCTATGGAGATGTGTTGAGCCCATTAAGGAAGATACTAGATGACAGGGGAATTTGGACAGGCAGCTGGACGGCTATGATGAGGTTGAAGGTCACTGATAACGTGATCAAACACCTCCCCTCCTCCGCTTTCCTTGGGAAAGACAGACTTATTTTTTATGCAGGCCAACCGAAGTTATGTCATCGGTGTGGGAGCAAGCAGCATTTTTGCGTCAGGATGTGCAGTCCTGAAGTGCTCATTGTGCCAGGGGATTGGGCATCTGGCTAAGACTTCAACGAAATCAGGTGCAACCTGTGCCTTAGGCTAGGCCACTCATATAGTCGTTGCCCTGAGGCAGTCCATAACCAGCCGGAGGTAATAGACGAACTGTTGAGGTTGGAAGCGGAAGAGCTTAAAGAGGCCTCCAAGGCTCGGGGCGATGCAGTGGCTGTAGCCGCTGCATCGGCGGAGGGATCATCTGTTGTTCCTGATGTTGCTTCCCCTGTGTGTCTGCCTCTTCCCCCAAGGTTGGGTCTGTTTCTGTGAGTGTGTCTTCCCCTGCCCAAGTGTTGTCTGTGTCTCCCTCTGTCCCTGTCCCTCCGGTTAGGAGGAAAAAAATTGGTGAGGCGGCTAAAGGTGCTGGGCTTGTTGGGCAGGGGTGTGCCCCCCTCTCCGGTTCTTCTTCCGCGGCGCGCCGCAATGTCCCGGGGGTGGCGGTGGAGGAGTCAGTAGGTGGGAGGGAGGCCTCAAACCCAGATGGGGGAAACCCCGGTGGAGAAAGGGGGGGGGGTGAAGAGTGGTCTGTAGTGGGAAAGGGTGGGAGAAATAGGACAGTAATTTCCCCCGCCACATCCCTTTCATCTCTGGAGGTGGATGAGCTACCTTTAGAAAATAGGTTTGGGACTCTGGGGATGGGGAGGAGTTAGGGGACTCCCCTGCCCCGATGGAGGAGGAGGCTTCTGGTGTGTCCCTGAAAAGGACCAGGCCCTCAGCTAAGAAGGGGAAAAAGAAGGCTAAGAAACGCCTCTCTCAATTACCTTAATGGCAGTTCCCGCTCCGATAAATGTGGCAACCATTAATGTTGCCAGCATAAAGTCTGTGAGTGCTAGAAGTGCGGCCTTGGTTTTGCTCAGTGGTGTTTGTGCTGACATTTTGTTTTTGCAGGAGACCCGGCTTGAGTGCCTTGCCGATATCCACCTGGCAAAGAGGGAGTGGAGGTGTGGTCCCTCCTTCTGGTCTCTTGCGGCCGAACCTTACAGCGGAGTTGCGGTGCTTTTTACCGGCATGGTAACGTGTCGGCGGGTCAATGAAGTGGAGGTCGGAAGATGCATGGTCTTGGACGTCCTTGTGAAGGGGCAGGAGCTGAGGCTCATTAATGTTTATGGCCCGCAGTCAAAGTGGGACAGGAAATGCCTCTTTACAAGGATTAAGCCTTTCCTTTTTACATCCCGGCAGGTTGTCTTTGGAGGTGATTTCAACACCGTTACTAGGCCCAAAGACAGGAAAGGCTCCAATGACAGGCTGGGATATGACAGCGTTTTTCTAAATGCGATAGTCAGGGAAGCAGGTCTGGAGGATGCTTTAATTAAGTGCAGCCCGGACAGCACGGGGTTCACATTTAGGCGAGGTAGAAGTGAGAGTAGAATAGACAGGTTTTTTTTAAAGGGGGACTCCGCTTTCTCGGCACCTGTGTGTCAGGCAGTGGAATTCTCTGACCACCTTTTGCTAACTGTGTCTTTGAATGTTGCAGATACTCCACTGAAGGGGAGGGGTGTCTGGAGATTGAATTCGTCCCTGCTGGACGATGAGGAGGTGAGACGATCCTTCGAGGACTTTTTCCAGGCTCAGGAGACCATCCTGGATTTCTGTGACAATAAGTCAGAATGGTGGGAGCTTACCAAGGCGCGGATTGGCAAGTTTTTCAAGGCCCTAGGTAAGAGGAAACAATTTGATAAATATGTTACCTACCAAACGGTTGAGGAGGAAACTCGATCGCCTTGTCTCCGAGGGTGGAGATTCTGGGGCAATCTCAGAAGTTAAACTTCTCCTCAGAAAATATCAATATGATCGGCATGCCTCCTTGGTTCTGGAGAGGGACTATGGGAAATACCATTCACCCGACCCTTACCAGAATTGCAAGCAAGGTATAGCGGTTAAGATGATCACTGGTCTGAGAGACAGTACGGGTTCCCTGACAAAATCCAGGGCAGGAATCCTGGAGGTCTCGAGGGCTTTTTTTAAGGATCTTTTGGGGGAGAAGCACCTCGACCAGGCAAGGATGTTGAGTTTCTTGGAGTCTACGCCAGGTCTAGAAAATAATGTTCTGCCCGCGAATTTGACAGGTGAGATTACAGCTGCCGAGGTTGCCAAAGCCATAGATAGTCTGGCCATCAAGAAGACGCCTGGGCCGGATGGTTTGACAGCTGAATTTTTTAAGATCTTCAAGTCCAGCTTGGCACCCCTTCTCGCGGAGGTCTTCAATAGCTGTCTTGATGAGGGCTCACTCCCTCCCTCCCTCCATGAGAGTTTCAGCTGTAATCTTGCTGTCAAAGGGTAAGGACCCTTCGGCGATTGAGAATTGGCGCCCCATCAGCCTTCTCAACGTCGATAGAAAGATTTTGGCTAAGATTCTTTTCTGGCGCTTGTCGTCAGTGGCAGACAAGTTGCTTTCACAACATCAGCACTGTTCGGACCAGGGCAGAAGTACGTTCTCAGCGGTGTTAGCTGTCCGGGAGGTTCTGGAGCGTTGCAGGGCTGATGGCATTGGGAAGTATTTGCTGGCGCTGGATCAGGCTAAGGCCTTTGATTGGGTGGACCACGAGTACCTCTGGCGTCTCCTTTGACCAGTATGGCCTGGAAGGGAGGTTCATTGAATGGCTAAAGACATTGTACAAAGGGGCAGAGAGCTTCATGCTGGTTAACGGTTGGGTTGGGCAGCCTTTCAGGGTAGGCTCAGGGGTGCGCCAGGGGTGTCCGCTGAGCCCCTTGCTTTATGCTTTTGCCATCGACCCCTTCATCAGGAGGCTAGATGGCGGGGTTTTGGCTGGGGTGCTGGTTGGGGCGCAACTGGTGAGCCGCCTTTGAAGGTTGTAGCCTATGCTGATGATGTGTCTGTTTTTATCTCTGGGGCTGAGGAGGCGCAGGTGGTGGTTTCAGAGATGGAGCAGTATGCGGAGGCATCAGGCTCCAAGATTAATCGTGACAAGTGTGAAGTTTTCTGGATGGGTAGGGATGGTGAGAACTTCTCACTTTCGGAAGCCTTCCCAGTGCCCCAGTCAAAGATCAAAGTGTTAGGCATCACTTTTGGCCCTGATGATTATGGTAAAGCAAACTGGGAATCCAGGTTGTCTGATGCCGAGGTCAAGGTGAGATGCTGGAAGGGGTGGCGGCTCTCCTTAAGGGAAAAGGGTCGACCTGATTAAGACTTACTTGATTCTGGTCTTTTTGTACGTCAGTTATGTCTGTCTCTTGTCAGAGTCTCTCTACACAAGGGTCTACAGCTGTTTTTTTCCAGCTATTATGGGGAAACAGGCTGAACCTCGTGAAGAGGAATGTGACCTATCGACCCAGGCGGGAGGGTGGCTTAGGAATGGTCAACCCGATCGTTTTCTTCTCTGTAATGTTCATTAAACATAATTTTGGTAACATGCTGAAAGAGAGGCCGCCTGCATGGGTAGGTTTATTTCTGATGTGGTTTTTAGACCTTTTCTGAACTGTTGGGAGAGTGGCGGGCCAGTGAAAAGCCTGAGAGTCAAGCACGGTAAGCTCCCGGCTTATGTTGCCCCGAGCTTGAAAATTCTTAGGCGGTGGTGTGTGACAGCGGAGGAGGTCAGATCGCTTCCTGGGAGATCTCTCAGGGAGAGGGTCGTGGCCACCGTTTTTTCATGCACCTCTGGCCTTGAAGGATTGCCCAGGCTATAGTTTGCGGAGGGTTTAAGATTGATAAACATGGAAAGGATTCCCTTGAAATTTAGGGACCAGGCCTGGCTTGCGTTCCATGGCAGGCTATATGTGAGGGGGAACTTGAAGTTCCGTTCTCTGGATGACCGCGGTTGTCCGAGGGCGGAGTGTGGGGGTGAAGTGGAATCTATGGACCATTTCTTGCTTCAGTGCCCCTTCAATATAGAGGTGTACAAAGAGGTGGGGAGGGCTCTAGACATCCCGTTCCTGCACCGCATGTCTTATGCGGAGTGGGTATATGGGGCTTTTGAAAGACGTGTGGGGTTTGATTTTGACACTCTTTTTCTAGTTGGTGTAGTGGTCCGATATTTCACCTGGAACGCACGGTGTCAGGTCTCCCTTCGGCAGAAAGTCCTTCCTGTTCTGGTGGTGGTGAATGACATTCTTGGTGAGGTTGGGAAAATTCGGGGTCTTGAGAAAGACAGGCTGCGGCGAAGGGCCTGGATAGAGGCGTGGAGGAATATCAGGTCTGTAGTCGCAGTCTGTTGATCTCTGGGTGTGGATTCTGTTCTCTCTTTCTTCCTGTGTGTTTTACTCCCCTAGATTTGTGAAGAAGAATTTTTAAGAGAGGCTTTGTGCATCCGAAGATCTATGTTTCTTAGCCGTGGATTTATGTATTGTTACTGTTATAGTGTTATAGGTAGCACCTGAAAGGTGCCAATATAGCTATTTAGTATAAAGCCATGAAGGCCTTTTTTTTGTTTTGAAATTTGTGTTTGCATTTCCTTTTATGATATGTTTTCTTTCATGGTGAAGTAACCTTGTGTAATTGTATTGTTTATGTGTTTATTTATTTGTACTTTTATAAGAAAATGTATGCTGGTTGCAAGATTTTTTTACAATAAAAAATCTCCCACTACTATTGGCAAGTCCATTCCTGACAGTACACCCCCCCTCAAGGAGCGGCCTCAGGACGCTCCAAACAGTCCTAGCTGGGCAAAATGTTCCACCGCCCGGGTCCGGTGACTGGCGGGATATCAAAGACTGGCACATCGGCTGGGCGCCGGACGGAGGCACTTCGAGCTGGGCGCCGGACGGAGGCACTTCGAGCTGGGCGCCGGACGGAGGCACTTCGAGCTGGGCGCCGGACGGAGGCACTTCGAGCTGGGCGCCGGACGGAGGCACTTCGAGCTGGACGCCGGGCCACCAGGCGAAGGCACTTCGAGCTGGACGCCGGGCCACCAGGCGAAGGCACTTCGAGCTGGACGCCGGGCCACCAGGCGAAGGCACTTCGAGCTGGACGCCGGACGGAGGCACTTCGAGCTGGACGCCGGACGGAGGCACTTCGAGCTGGACGCCGGGCCACCAGGCGGAGGCACTTCGAGCTGGACGCCGGGCCACCAGGCGGAGGCACTTCGAGCTGGACGCCGGGCCACCAGGCGAAGGCACTTGGAGCTGGACGCCGGGCCACCAGGCGAAGGCACTTGGAGCTGGACGCCGGGCCACCAGGCGAAGGCACTTGGAGCTGGACGCCGGGCCACCAGGCGAAGGCACTTGGAGCTGGACGCCGGGCCACCAGGCGAAGGCACTTGGAGCTGGACGCCGGGCCACCAGGCGGAGGCACTTGGAGCTGGACGCCGGGCCACCAGGCGAAGGCACTTGGAGCTGGACGCCGGGCCACCAGGCGGAGGCACTTGGAGCTGGACGCCGGGCCACCAGGCGGAGGCACTTGGAGCTGGACGCCGGGCCACCAGGCGGAGGCACTTGGAGCTGGACGCCGGGCCACCAGGCGGAGGCACTTGGAGCTGGACGCCGGGCCACCAGGCGGAGGCACTTGGAGCTGGACGCCGGGCCACCAGGCGGAGGCACTTGGAGCTGGACGCCGGGCCACCAGGCGAAGGCACTTGGAGCTGGACGCCGGGCCACCAGGCGAAGGCACTTGGAGCTGGACGCCGGGCCACCAGGCGGAGGCACTTGGAGCTGGACGCCGGGCCACCAGGCGGAGGCACTTGGAGCTGGACGCCGGGCCACCAGGCGGAGGCACTTGGAGCTGGACGCCGGGCCACCAGGCGGAGGCACTTGGAGCTGGACGCCGGGCCACCAGGCGGAGGCACTTGGAGCTGGACGCCGGACGGAGGCACTTGGAGCTGGACGCCGGACGGAGGCACTTGGAGCTGGACGCCGGACGGAGGCACTTGGAGCTGGACGCCGGACGGAGGCACTTGGAGCTGGACGCCGGACGGAGGCACTTGGAGCTGGACGCCGGACGGAGGCACTTCAGGCTGGACACCGGACGGAGGCACTTGGACAGGCACTGGCTGGACGCCGGGCGTAGGCACTTCGAGCTGGACACCGGGCGGAGGCACTTCGAGCTGGACACCGGACGGAGGCACTTCGAGCTGGACACCGGACGGAGGCACTTCGAGCTGGACACCGGACGGAGGCACTTCGAGCTGGACACCGGACGGAGGCACTTCGAGCTGGACACCGGACGGAGGCACTTCGAGCTGGACACCGGACGGAGGCACTTCGAGCTGGATGCCGGATCACCAGGCGGAGCAGCGGGCACCAGGCGGAGCAGCAAGCACCGGGCCACCAGGCGGAGCGGCGGGCACCGGGCCACCAGGCGGAGCGGCGGGCACCGAGCCACCAGGCGGAGCGGCGGGCACCGGGCCACCAGGCAGGGCGGCGGGCACCGGGCCACCAGGCGGAGCAGCAGGCACCGGGCAACCAGGCAGGGCGGCAGGCACCGGGCCCCCAGGCAGAGCGGCGGGCACCGGGCCCCCAGGCAGAGCGGCGGGCACCGGGCCCCCAGGCAGAGCGGCGGGCACCGGGCAACCAGGCAGGGCGGCAGGCACCGGGCCATCTGGCTCGACAGCGGGCATCGGGTCACCAGGTACAACAGCGGGCACCGGGTCATCAGACATTGGATCGTCTTGCTCGACCGCAGGCACCAGGTCATCTGGCTCAACAGCGAGCATCGGGTCACCAGGCACGACAGCGGGCATCGGATCACCAGGCATCAGGTCATCTGGCTCGACAGCGGGCACCGAGTCATCTGGCAAGGCAGTGTGCACCGAGTCACCAGGCGTGACAGCTGGCTCTGAGTCAACTGGCACGACAGTGAGCATCGGGTCACCAGGTATGACAGCGGGCACTGGGTCATCAGGCATTGGATCGTCTAGCAAGACCGCGGGCCCCGAGTCATCTGGCAAGACCGCGGGCCCCGAGTCATCTGGCAAGACCGCGGGCACCGAGTCAACTGGCAGAACAGCGGGCACCGAGTCGTCTGGCAGAACAGCGGGCACCGAGTCGTCTGGCAAGACTGCGGGCACCGAGTCGTCTGGCAAGACTGCGGGCACCGAGTCGTCTGGCAAGACTGCGGGCACCGAGTCGTCTGGCAAGACTGCGGGCTCCGAGTCGTCTGGCAAGACTGCGGGCACCGAGTCGTCTGGCAAGACTGCGGGCACCGAGTCGTCTGGCAAGACTGCGGGCACCGAGTCGTCTGGCAAGACTGCGGGCACCGAGTCGTCTGGCAAGACTGCGGGCACCGAGTCGTCTGGCAAGACTGCGGGCACCGAGTCGTCTGGCAAGACTGGGGGCACCGAGTCGTCTGGCAAGACTGCGGGCTCCGAGTCGTCTGGCAAGACTGCGGGCTCCGAGTCAACTGGCGGAACAGCGGGCATCATGTCGTCTGGCAAGACTGCGGGCACCGAGTCATCTAGCAAGACTGCGGGCACCGAGTCATCTAGCAAGACTGCGGGCACCGAGTCATCTAGCAAGACCGCGGGCACCGAGTCAACTGGCGGAACAGCGGGCACCGAGTCGTCTGGCAAGACTGCGGGCACCGAGTCGTCTGGCATAATAGGATCATCAGGTTGGGTAAGAACATCAGGCTGGGTAAGAACATCAGGCTGGGTAAGAACATCAGGCTTGGTAAGGACATCAGGCTGGGTAAGGACATCAGGCTGGGTAAGGACATCAGGCTAAATTGTGGGCGCCGAGGCACCAGGCTGCACCACGGAAGGCGGGTTCTCAGATGGCAGGCTCACCGGTTTGGATACTGGCAGGATGGTATTGGTTGGAAAGAATTTTTCTGGTTTTAGTTACCGGAGCACTGTAAGTAAGCGCAGGTTTGTAAACGCAGCAGCTGAAGACAGAGAAGAGCTGGAGGATGGAACAGA